GGGTGTATATGTGTGGGGTGTATCTGTCTCCAGTCTCTGTCGCAGGTAGTTACATGCATTTGTATCGGCAATATGCATATATTCTATCCCCATACTGCTGCAATATATTTGTTGCAGTCTATCTATAAGGTCTCTTAGTTTTCTTGGTGGAGACAAAGGAGACAAAAAACCAAGCATACCGGGGACCCTTATAGTATAATATTTATCTAGGTCTGCTGCTGTGAATCCATAGTGCTCGGGTGATATATGTATGGGTCTTTGTGCTGCGCGGAGAGAGCAGTATGGGGGCTTCCTAGGTAAACATAAAGGGTCTATGCATGCAAGCTCATGCCCCCGGGTTTGATAGTCTCTTATCATTTGTATGAGTCGAGAGGTATCGTGTATAGACTGGGTGTTGTCGGTGTACACTCCGCCCCCAGCAGCAGCAGCAGTATAGCTCTCTCCCTCACCTGCTGCTGCTGCTGCTGCTGCGGCGGCGGCGGCGGCAGCGGCAGCGCCAGCTGCTGCTGCTGGTGCTACTGCTGCTGATACNCTGCTGCTGCGGCGGCGGCGGCGGCAGCGGCAGCGCCAGCTGCTGCTGCTGGTGCTACTGCTGCTGATACCAGTGATGGAGTACCGCTCACACCACCACTTCCTGCTGCTGCTGCTGCTGCTGCAGCGGCGGCTGCTGCTGCTGCTGCTGCTGGGGTTTTAGGATGTTGCTGTTGTTGCTGCTGCTGCTGCTGCTGCAGAGTAGGGGGGGGAGTGAAACACACAGCAGGGGGCAAGCCAGCCTCTAGGTTGCTAAAGTATGCAGCCCAGGATGCATGCACGGAGCTGGGATCGCGTCTCCACGCCAGCAGCATCTGCTCAGCATAAGAAGCACCAGTACCCGATAGAAACCCATCTGCTGCTGCATCTCCTCCTGCTCCTGCTGCTGCTGCTGCTGCTGCTGCTGCTGCTGCTGGTGAGGAGGGGGTGGCGGACCCAGCTGCAGAAGAAAACGGACTTCTACCTCTGCTGCTGCTGCTGCTGCTGCTGCTGCTGCTGCTGGTGATACCCTTGCTGCTAGCAAGAGACCTGCTGTCGTGCAGTAGGCTGTTGCTGCTGCTGCTGCTGCTGCTGCTGCTGTAGCTCCTGGTCTGCTGGTGAACCGACCATGGAGAATGCAG